TTTAATTAATACGTTCAATATTTTAGTACCAGTTTTGTTTACTTTTTTGTTTTTTCAATGATCTACGGGAAGAGTTTAAACTACACTATTCTGGTTTTTACTTGTTAAGATAAAAAATATCGATTAATTTGTAAGAACCAAAAAAAATGAGTGTTATTACTTTAAAGAGTACTTTAAAACAAACCCAGTTTTATCTATGTGAGTTTGCTGATTTGTAAATTGACTAATAGGCCACACCCCAGTATGATACGTACAAATTATACACACTTGATATTATATAGTTATTGTTTGCTACATATTCAATAACTATATATATTATATGTTCAGTATTGACAAAATATAATACGACGTCAAATATTAATTAAATAGCAGTAAAATAATAAACATTTTTTAAATAGTATATATTTTCTAAATCATGGCTAATCGTACATTCACTTGAACATTTATGAACAAAATAAGCTTTTTTTACTTAATCAACTATTGACAATGAGTAAACACGTCACCAATCTCGATTTTTTTCTGATTGAATTTTGTAAATTGGACATTCTAGTAAACTATTAGATTGATTGGTTTTTTCAGGCCAATCAATTATAATAAATGAATAAAAATAACCATTATTGCCTTTATGACAGAAAATTGCTCTCAGTATAGCATAGCTTTCTTCTTCTTCTTCTTCTTCTTGAATAGTTATAACATCACCAATATGTAGTGAATACTTTTCTATGATGTTATAACTATTCTCTGCCAGATATGGTATGCCTTCATAAAAGCTTAGTCCTGTATTAATGAGAGCTTCCATATGTCCAAAATCACAGTACGAAAGGTATAATTCTGATTTAAATTCAGAATTATTTATTTGGTATGGTACTTTTTCTTCAAGATCTTTTAAACAAATCTTTTTTTTAATTTAATATTAAAAATATGTTCAATTTGTGAATGTACTAAATTAGAAATATATATATTAGTATATATGTACATATTAAAATAATACTTTACAGAAACTTAAATATCTTAATATACAATAACTGTATAGTAACGATGTAATAATCACATAGTTACTATTAAATTTAATCATAATTACATAGTTACTATACAGTTACTGCGTATTAAGAAATTTAAGTTTCTATATAGTATATAGTTATTGAATAACAATTAAAATAGTAATGACAAGAAAAAAAATAACAAATTATAATAACCTTCAATATCAACATCTTCATGATCTAATTGTATAAAATTATTAGCTTTGGTAATAAACCAATCGCTAAATAATTTTTTAAAATCTTGTAAAATGTTGACAAAGCCTTGATTAGATTTTGAGATTCTAATATCAACACTATCATCAATAAGATGCCGAATAGCAAATAATGTAGTATATCGTTTCAACAAATCTAGTTCAATATTCTTACAATTTGTTCGTGATACCATGATTTTAAAAATTCAGTGAACCATTTCTTTAGTACCAACTGAAGTATTTACAAGGTTGTCATATCTATGTGCATGTAATGATAAATGGCTATTTATGTGAAGATTTGGAATATTCTCAAATTCAGCAAAAACCTAACGAAACAAATTTATTAACAGGCTTATTATAAATTATATGCATATTATAATAATGCATAATATAAATATATAAATAATAATTACTTGAGTTAATATTTGACTTTCTGTCTCCAAACATTTTTGAAGATTTTCATAATCTTCTGTCGAATATGATTTTTTAAATACTAATTATGCTGATTTTGCAACTAAAACCCAACATTTAGTTAAAGATTTAGAAACCAAATCAGCACGATTAGTATTTATTCTTTGCTGAATATTTGTTAATTCAGCACTTTTAATATGCCAAGTCTTTAAAGAACAATTAAGAATAAATGGCATAACCATTGCTAAATGAAGGTAGTCAGACATCATAAAACTTTCATGATGACTAATTGGATTAGGCAAATGTTCCTAGTGTGCTAGATATTCAAAATTTTTCCACGCTTCAATAAATTCTTTTTGACCTTCTGGTAAAAATAAATTAACTGTTAATTTTAAAAGCCTCATCATTTTTCCAGCAGTTGCGTGATAGATGTCTTAAGGTGTTTGAAGATGCCGATCCCATATTAGTTGACTTAATATTGGAATACTATTGCACAGCCCATATTTAGTTGCAACTAATTTACGCTCTTTCATAGATTCGGCTGATGCAATTTCATGAAATTGGCTATTGGTAATGTGCTGATATCTTGTCAAGTTTTTAAAATCCAAATCATTATTTGTTAAATTTTCTTTAGAAACTTGACAAGTTCGACATCCCTTATTTGCACCATGTCTTTTAACACCAGCAAGATTATTTCCTTATAGAAGATCTGCTGTAGCTACCCCAAGACTAATAATAACCCAGTACTCTTGGCCTTGAATATTCATTATTTGACCACTTTCTAAAGACTTTATTTTCATAATAAATGGTCTAATAAATTCATTGAATGATCCACCAAAGGGTACAAATCCCAACACAAAATGATTTTTTAATTGCTGCCTTAAAGAAATTGGCATGTTGCCAAATTGTATATAAACACCACCAAGTAAATGATATACATTTCAATATGTTCCAAAATCATCGTAATAAAGATTCAGAAATACTTTGAGAACTGGTATATTTGTACTTAGTGGTAAAGAAACCGTTGCATATTCAGAAGGATGTTGATATTCTAATAAGATATTTCGAATCTTCCAATGGCCTTTAAATTTATAAATGATCTCATTTATATAATAAGAATAATGTTCTTTGTTATAAGATGAGATAGTAACACTTGCATGCCCAATAACTTCATGCTTGTTAACCAAGTTATTAATAACTTGGTCAACTAACCATACCTCTTCTAATTGAGAACTAACTTGATGGTTGCTGCTTTGAATATTTTTTGGTAGCTCGTCAAATTTAATAATTTTTTAAACCTTTAGTTTTAGAATTTTATTTGCTAAAACTATAGCTCGAATTCGTCTCAATCTTATGCCATTTTCTTGATAATAAATAAAATCTCCCGTATTATAAATTTCTAAAAATTATAGTTTTGTTTAAGTAATAAAAATTAAATTAAAAAAAAATAAATAAATAAAATAAAAATTAAATTAAAAAAAATAAATAAATAAAATAAAAATTAATAAATATTACTAAATATTAATAATAACTTATCATTATTAATAGTTATTGATTCTTGACCATATAAAGGAGATTCGAACCATAAGTTACCATGCCAGTATTCTGATTTATGAGTAACTTCTTGACCAGGTCCAAAATACATATGCTGCATTAAAGAAGAAGTATTTAAAACATTTCAAATTATGTCTTTAATCGACAAATAATAGCATTTTTTAATTTTGTTAGACTTTGAAGAAGTCTTCATAGTTGAAATATTAATAGATCTTAAGTATATTGGCATAAGAGGAAGTCTTTGCTTCCAACATCTAAAGAATCGAATATTTTTAATCATATGATTAAGATTGAATTGGGGATGATAAAGTATTTCAACAAGTTCATCATAAGCATTGGTAGCTAAAGTTTTTTTTAAAATAATTAATATTTTCAATTAAAATAGTTTAAGTTTTAAAAATTTATATATAAATTTAAATTAAATATTACCAATACTATTCTTTTGTATCCAACTAAACATTAATGCAGTAGTTGTTTTTCAAAATATGGTGAAAACTCACCAATATTTTGTGACAATTTATTCAGATCTAAAGCTTTGTCGGCAATATCTTCAAAAAATTCATTTTCAACTGATGTTGATAAACTATCACTGCTTAATTCATCGCAAGAATTAATACTATTGCTAGAAGTTTCAGAAGTAAACTCTTCACAAGAATTTATATCTTCATCTAATTCTTCCGAAGAATATATAGCAGGTTCATCATAGTAACTAATATTGTCTTCTTCAAAAGAATGTTCATTAGATTCTTCATAATACTCTATTGGTTCATCTGAAGAATACACAGAAGAAGGGTCTAACTGCATCGTAGAACTTTCTGAAGAATCTTGTGTTAAAGGTCTAGAAGTGTTATAAGAAAATCTTTGTCTTAACGAAAAAATTTTATTATTTTTATTATTTTTTGTTCTAAATTTATTATGCAACATGTTTATAAAATGATTATAGAGAAAAGAAATATTTGATAAACTAGAAAGAACAAATGAATGAGATATTTAATAAACTAGAAAGAAGAAAGAAATATTTAATAAACTAGAAAAAGAAATAAAGTAGCTATCTTTATAACTTGTAAAAAAAAAAAAAAAAAAAAAAAACAATTATGTAAAAAATATGAACTTTTATTAATACTATACAGAAACTTAAATTTCTTAATATGCAGTAACTGTATAGTAACTATGTAATTACGATTAAATTTAATAGTAACTATGTGATTATTATGTCATTACTATACAGTTATTGTATATTAAGATATTTAAGTTTCTGTAAAGTAATTAATATTAAATTTAGGAAATTGATATTTCCATACCCTTTTTCGATATTGCCACACCCCTGTCAATAAACATAAATATAGATTATTAGGGTTTGGTAGGTTAGAGATAGCAGGGGTGTGGCAATATCAAAAAAGGGAGTGAAAATATCAATTCCCTAAATTTATTATAGATAATATTATCATTATTTTAATAAGAATTAAGTTTTGTTATAATACATTTACTATAAATAATATATATAATTGTTATTTTGTCATATTGATAAAAATTGAGATTTGTTATGTTTGGTATAATACGTAATGCATAAATATATAAATTTACTGTAGATAAAATCATTGTTATTTTGTCATAATAATAAGATTTGTTACGAATTAATAATGTAAACAAAAAAGTTTAAAGTTTAATAGTTAGCAAAAATTTTATAAATTGTACTGATAATCAAGAAGTTAAAATATGTAAACAAAAAGTTTAAACTTAAATTTCTTAATGCACAGTAACTGTATAGTAACTATATAATTACAATTAAATTTAATAGTAACTATGTGATTACTATGTTGTTACTATACAGTTACTGTATATTAAGATATTTAAGTTTTTGTAAAGTATCTCATGTTAATAAATATTAATTGGAATTGTAAATTGTTCTAAGTGCTTGGACAATCAAATACTTGTGATTAAGTCAGACATCAGATTAATACATGTATATGTAGTATTTGATTATTTGATGTCTGACTTTATCACAAGTAATATAATATTGATATATATTTGACTATTAAATTTTTGTTTGATTATACTGAATACTATTTCTAATAATACAAGTTAAAATATATAAACAAAAAGTTTAAATTAATACATAACTAAAATTTTATTAATTAGAATTATAAATCATTCTAACAATCAAGAAGTTAAAATATGTAAACAAAAAGTTTAATATGTAAAAAAAAGTTTAAATTAATATGTAACTCATATTAATAAAAAATTTTAAATTAATTAGAATTATAAATTATTCTAATAATACAAATATGTAAAGAAAAAGTTTAAATTTAATAACTCATATGTTAATAAAAAATTATAATATTTAAAAAATAAAAGTTAAAATATTAAACAAAAAGTTTAAATTAACACGTAACTCGTGTTCAATTATTAATTGTATATTTAATAATTAAATTTTTAATAAAAAATTTTTTAATTTAAAAAATAAAAGTTTAAAATTAATATTTTAATTTTATTAATTATATTTCAATAAAATATATTTTATATAAATAGCGATAATATTAAATAAATATTGTTAAAAAATCGTTAATTTTTACAAGCTTTGAACTCTACTTTTTTTATCTCATTATTTTTTAAAAAAATAAAAAATACTATAGAAAAACCAAAGCGTGATCGTCCACTAAAACATTCAAAACCCCAAGAAACAGTTGCTAAATCTTCTTCGAAGATTCAAGCAAAAGTTTTAAAACCTTCGTCTAAAGCAAAACCTTTATCAAAAATATTAAAAGCATCTAAATCTTCACAAAAAAATTCTTTAAAAAAATCATCATTTTATTATTATGAAGATGAAGATGAGGATGAAAATGAGGATGAAAATGATGATGCAAATGAGGATGAAGGTGATGAACTAAGGCAAAATCAATGTAATTTATTAATTTTAAGTATTATTTAATTTTATATACATATCATTATTCTTTTTAAAAAAATATAAATATTATTTATAAAAAAGGAAATATTCAAAATGATGACAATAATAATGCTTCATTGCCGAAATCTTCAACCAGAAATCAAAATCAAAGTACTTTATTAAAATTATTTAATTTTATATAGTATTATTATTAATAAAATAAAATATTTTATCAAGGAAGCATTACATTTGAAGATGAAGTGGGTAATTCTTCAACATCTCATGTAGCAACAAATATTATAGATATGCTATCAGAGAACGATAATGAAGATAATGATTATAGCCAACATAATGATATATATGATTTACATGATTGTTAGTATTATTAATTATTATTATTATTATATGTACTATGTATACTAAACTAAATTATTAACAGCAATTTCAAGTAATGATAATGAAGAATTTCAACCAGGTAATCGAAAAATGGATAATGGGGTCTGGGCTTTATGTAATTATTTAGAAATTATCATTATATTATTAATATTTAATTGTTAACTTTTCATATTATTATATATATTATATTAAAATAAGCCAACTCATTAACAGCAATTTCAAGTAACGAGCATGTAGAAGAATTTCAATTGGGTATATCAGGTATTTATCTATTGAGCTTGGATCTGTTATCTAATTTTTAATATATAAACTATATATATTATTAAATTTTAATTTTTTAATATTTATAAAAGAAAAATCCAAAGGAAAACAACAAAAATATGAAGTTAGTCAAATTCCAGCAGAATTTGACAGGATGAAGAATATTTTAGAAATATGCAATTGGCTGGTAAAACATTCATCTATACTACAGTTAGCCAACCAAATGTATACAGCATCCTTAACATCAATCAAAAATATTGGTACTTTTAATGAATCATCATCAGCAATTTCGGCAAGAATAGTTAACAATAGAGTAAGATTTATAATATAATTTATTTTTCTTTTTTTAAAAAGAAATAATATAATATAATAAATAAAAATAATTTTTTTTAGGATGGTGCACATATATGGGATAAAGAAATAAAATGTCTCTTCCTTAGAGCAAGGTTTCCCCCAGCAACATGTATCGATGAATTTGTTAAAAAAATTTTTAGATATCTTTCTTGTTCTAAAGAAGGAATAGAGGTACAGACAAAAACAAAAAATACTTTAGGTGATTTTCGGCACAAACTTAACAAAACAGTATTAGATTATATTAAAACATATAAAGCAATCCAAGAAAGGTATATATTAAAAATATATATGTATAATTAATATAATTGATATATATCATATTTATATTAATATTTTATTTAATTTTAGACAAAGCATAACACTTTCATTAACAAATGAGGACCTAAAAAACTATATTGATGAAAAAGTAATGATGAAAATCCTTAAAAGGTATATTGTAAGATCTAATCAACCAGAGCTTCAAAGGTGTGGCACAGTAAAAAAATTAGTGCAATTGATTCGTGAAATGTTTAAAATGCATTGGCGATGCAAGAATGTTGCCCAAGTAAGAACCTTGGACTATATAACCAAAAATATGCATGTACCATCAAGAAGTGGTCATAATATTGCAAGCAAACTTAATATTAATTAAATAATAAAATTATTTTACTTTATTTTACGTATTACTATATTACATAGTTTTAGCAATAATAATACAATACAGTAGTAAATTTTCAATATAATATTATTCAGATCTATATCATTTCATTGACAAACTTATTTTACAATTAATTTATAAACAAATTCATTTTGTAGACTTAACAATTGACATATAAGTAAATCATTAGATCGTTAAGTTACTTAACGATAAATAACTTAACGATTGTTAAGTCACTTAACGATAAATAACTTAATGATCGTTAAGTCCTTTACAGAAACTTAAATATCTTAATATACAGTAACTGTATAGTAACAACATAGTAATCACATAGTTACTATTAAATTTAATCATAATTACATAGTTACTATACAGTTACTGTGCATTAAGAAATTTAAGTTTCTGTATAGTCACTTAACGATAAATAACTTAATGATTGTTAAGTCACTTAACGATAAATAACTTAACAATTGTTAAGTCACTTAACGATAAATAACTTAACGATCGTTAAGTTACTTAACGATAAATAACTTAATAATCGTTAAGTCACTTAATGATAAATAACTTAATGATCATTAAGTCACTTAACGATAAATAACTTAACAATCGTTAAGTCACTTAACGATAAATAACTTAACAATCGTTAAGTCCTTTACAGAAACTTAAATATCTTAATATACAGTAACTATATAGTAACAACATAGTAATCACATAGTTACTATTAAATTTAATCATAATTACATAGTTACTATACAGTTACTGTGCATTAAGAAATTTAAGTTTCTGTATAGTCACTTAACAATAAATAACTTAACGATCATTAAGTCACTTAACAATAAATAACTTAACAATCATTAAGTCACTTAATGATAAATAACTTAACGATCGTTAAGTCCTTTACAGAAACTTAAATATCTTAATATACAGTAACTGTATAGTAACAACGTAGTAATCACATAGTTACTATTAAAT